TCCCCAAGGAAATTTTCTATTGATTTGTAATTTGGCCTTAAATTTGACCTGTGGCCTTCATGTCATGATAATTTGGGTCACTCTGAATATGCCATCCCTTGAACAAGGGCCTCTGCTCATTTTAAATGAATGCAGCTGCCCATTTGCCATTCTTCTATTTGCATCACAATATGTGGGAATAAATTCACAATTAATAAAACATTTCCAGTAAGCAGTCACACTGAGGAAATGAAGGACAATTATTATGTTTAAAAAGAGATATTTCATTTTTGCCTTTTTGAACATAAAAAGGGGAAAGAAAACAGTTCAATGTCTTTGACAACCTTGGTAGACGTCCCTGGGCTCCCTGGGCTACAGTATCTAAAAAAACCCAAAAAGTATTTGGTCAAACTTAAGTGTAAAATAAACAAAACATTAAAAAAAAAAAAAAAGCCATGTAACCTCAAATTAGATTTTAGTTAAAAAAAAGGGAAAAAAGGAAAATAAATGTAGAAAAGGTTGTACCAGCCCTAAAAAAGTTAGCCAGCCTTCCTTTCTTCTTTTCCTTCTCTCTCTTTGGTTCAGTGAAAATGAATACTATCCAAGTTTGATCACGAGGAGCGCTTGCATTTGAAATGAGCTCACTGAAGCACCTTAGGGCCTTCATCCCATCTTGCGTCTGAGGCTACGTCAATTAGTAACAGGTTGTCCAGATAGAGGGAAACAGGTCCCAGTGGCATGCCAGGAAAGTGAGGAGTCTGGAAGGCCCATCCTAAGAGAAACCACAGAAGGAACTTGAAAAAGAAGGAAGTGGGGGAAGCCCGAGGAGAAGCTAGCATGTCTTAATAGCTGCTTTGGGTAATTTTTTTTTTTTGAGATAGAGTCTCACTCTGTTGTCCCAGCTAGAGTGCCGTGGCGTCAGCCTAGCTCACAGCAACCTCCAACTCCTGGGCTCAGCGATCCTCCTGCCTCAGCCTCCCTCCTGATTAGCTGGGACTACAGGCATGGTGCCACCACGCCCGCCCGGCTAATTTTTTTTCTATGTTTTGTAGGGACAGGATCTCACTCTTGCTCAGGCTGGTCTCGAACTCCTGAGCTCAAAGGATCCGCCGGCCTCGGCCTCCCAGAGTGCTAGGATTACAGGCGTGAGCCAGCTGCTTTGGGGCTTTGAATTTGTTGTTTTCACTGTGTAGAATGTTCCTACCTGCCTGCCTCGATTTCCACCTGTTGAAATTCTCCTCATTCTCCAAGGCCAGACTGAATAATCATCTACTGAGAGAGAAGTTTATAGAACCTCTCAGGATCCATCTCCCTGCTGCAAACCCCTCTAGCACTTGGGATTTTTTAAGCTTTTAATTGAAATGCTGTGGTTGGTATTTTGCTTTTCTTTAAATAAAATTTATGTGTAATTAAGGGGAAAAAAAATAGCACTGGCTGCCACCTCTGCTGTATTACTATCAATAAGTCCACTTACCTAGACCAGGGTAGGCAGGGCCTTGAACAGCACACTAAGGGCGGTACATTTTTAGTTTGTAATCGATGGGGAGCCATTAAGTTTCTGAGGACAGGCTTGACTTAAGACCCACGTTTTAGGCCGGGCGCGGTGCCTCACGCCTGTCATCCTAGCACTCTGGGAGGCCGAGGCGGGAGGATCGCTCAAGGTCAGGAGTTCGAAACCAGCCTGAGCAAGAGGGAGAACCCATCTCTCCTAAAAAAAAAAAAAAAATAGAAAGAAATTAATTGGCCAACTAAAAATACATAGAAAAAATGAGCCGGGCATGGTGGCGCATGCCTGTACTCCCAGCTACCCGGGAGGCTGAGGCAGGAGGATCGCTGGAGCCCAGGAGTTCGAGGTGGCTGTGAGCTGGGCTGGGGCCAGGCAACAGAGTGAGAAAAAAAAAAAAAAAAAAAAACCCACGTTTTAAGAAGGTGTCATCGAAGGCACACTGAGAAGGCGTTTCAGGTAAGAACGGAAGGGAAGCGGTTCGTGGAATCACCCTCCCTCTCTCTGAAGCTTGTCACCACGTACCCCGCGGGGCCACTCGCCGCCCTTTTCCCTCGGGCACACGGCGGTCCCTGGGCTCCAGCGATCCTCCTGCCTCAGCCTCCCGAGCAGCTGGGCTACAGGCCTGCGCCACCATGCCCAGCTAATTTTTTCTATATATTTTTAGTTGGCCAATTAATTTCTTTCTATTTATAGTAGAGACGGGGTCTCGCTCTTGCTCAGGCTGGTCTCGAACTCCTGTCCTCGAGCGATCCGCCCGCCTCGGCCTCCCAGAGAGCTAGGATGACCGGCGCGGTGGAAGGCGTTTTCGCTGCGGAAGTTTAACCAGCAGCGTCTTTAGTCAGGGTAGCGCGGGGGAGACCCGGGCGGGTTCTGGAAGGCGCCGGGAGCGCGTCAGAGCGGAGCCGGCGGCCGCGGGTCTGAAGAGAGCCGGCAAAGCCGCGGCTGTGTCTTTGGGGAGCTCTGGTCTCCGGCCGGCCCGACGCCGGGGCTGGGGGCGACTTTTGTTGTTTGTTTGTCAAAGACGCCGAAACAGCGAGTGGGCCGGCTCTTGGACCGAGGACCGGAGCGCCAGGCCGCGCCGGCGCGGCCCCTCGCGCGGCGGCGGCGGCTCTCCCCGCGGTCCCGCGGGCCGGGCCGCGCCCAGCAGCCACGCGCGCGCGCGCGAGGGCGTTCCCTGGGCGCGCGGCCGGCGGCGGGCGTGTCCGGCGGCGGCGGCGGCGCGCCGGGTGCGCGGCGCGGCGTCCTGTGCTGGAATGTGCGGCTCCCGCGAGCTCGCGGCGCAGCACCACAGCGAGCGCCGCCGAGGCCCCGGGCCCCAGACCCCGGCGGCGGCGGCGGCCGGGACGGCTGGGCCTGGGCCCGTGGCCTGAGCACCGAGTGCGGCTCGGCTCCTGGGCCTTCGCGGGCCCGGACGGCCCGGGCGCCCGACTTCCCCCTCCCCCTCCCGCCCCTGAAACTCCAGCAACAAAAGAAAAGTCGTCGGAGGAGCCGCGGCGGCGCCGGAGCCGCCCGCCGCCGGGAAGCGGTAGCGGGCGCGGCCGGGCGGGCGCGGGGAGGCGGCGGGGAGGGCGCGGGAGGACGCGGCGCGAGGCGCTGTCCAGGGCTGATCTGCAGATACTGCGGCTCCGGCGGCCGCGGCGGCGGGCGGGGCGGGCGGGCGGCGCGCGGGTCGGGTTACAGCGCCGCGCGGCTGGGCCGGGGCTCCGGCGCGGCAGCGCGCGCGCCGGGACCCCAGCCCAGGAGGCGGCGCGGGGCGTCTGCGCGGGCCGGGCCGCTGCGAGGCGGCCCGCCCGCCCCCGCGGGCCGCAGAGCGGACTGCTCGGGGCCCTGGTCCTGAAACTTCCTCCTGCCGTCCCCTGCCCCGCGGCCGCCGCCGCCCGCGGCCTCCGGCGCCTCCCCGGCCTCCTGCTCCCCTCGCCGGAAGGCGCCGCCGGGCAGCTCGAGTCCGCCCGGGCCCGGCGGTGGTGCCGGCGGGGCTGGACAGCGATTTCTGGCCGCCGGCCGCCGCGGGAGCGGAGTCGCAGACTTCCGGGCGCGGGGCGGCGGGCGGCCGCGTGGGCCCTCGGCGCGTCGGGCGCGGCGCCTCGGGAGGGCGCCCGCGGTGCCGCGGTTCTCGGCGAGGAGGGCGAGGCGGGCGGCGGCGCGGCGCGGAGGGGCCCCGGGGCGACCGGAGGGGCCCGAGCCCGGCTACGCGGTAACTCTGCGCCCTTCGTCCACACTCGCGGCCCGGGCCGGGGAGGGCTCCCGCACGCGCCGGGCCACCCGCGCGTTGGCGGGCGGCGGGCGCGGGGCGCCCGGGGGCTGGCGGGCCGGGCCGGGCGGGCCGCGGCGCGGAGGCCCGCTTTGTGCTCGGTATTCGGAGAAAATGGCCGAATGCCGCTGTCGGTTGGGAGCGCCGCGGCGGGGCGGGCGGCGGCACGCAGGGACCCGCGCGGCCGGGCCCGGACGGCCCCGCCACCGACGCCGTGACATTCCTTTGGGGCGGTGGGCTTCGGGCTGGGGGTCGCCAAGCCGGCGTCGGGGAGAAGCCCGGCGGCCCGGCCCCGCAGCCCCGGGACGGCCTTCGCCCTCCGTGTTCTGTGATGGCATTCGGTTCCAACTTTTTTGTTGGTGCTCAGAGCTAAACCGGTTGTGTTTGTACACTTGGGTGAAACGGATTGCTTTCCGTATTTCGGGGTTAAGTTGACCTTTTTTTTTTAGTACTTGCCACTTATTTTGCTTTTTTTGATTTGCAAGAGATCACTTAAGTCTGAGAATAGTACCTTTTAGATGGGGAAGTAACGTGGTGGAGACCATTGAAAAAGCCCAGCTTGTTTTCCAAGAAGGTGATCTTGTAATGGCTTCCACTAGGCCAAGTAGGCCAAAACAAGCACAGTGCAAGAAAGTTGCCGATTGTCGACGGGGGTGGATGTACGGTTATTTTATTAGAGGGTCTGAAAAAAAATTCTTTGCTTGTGAAGTTTTGAATAAACCAGACTTCCTTTTTCACAGAAAAAGGGGTCCATGATATTTTTTTTCTCTGAAATCGGTGGAGTCATCGAAAAATTAAGAGGGACCAAGTTGTACTTTTTCAACAGTGGTTTTTTTCTTTTGGAGTTAGTCAAATTCGTATGAAATTCAATTAAGTTGAACAATTATTACAGGCGTCTACTTTGCAGATGTGTTTGTGTGCTTAATAAATGCTCAGGCTTGTGGATTTCTGGGCTTTGTGATTTAAACCATGAAACTGGTGAAGGTGGAGGGGAAGTTGGATTACTCATGTACTGAACTTTTAAAATAATTTTAATTAACATTAAAAATGAAGATTACTTTTTGCCCCCCTACCAGAACAATTACAAGTGCTTTAGGGACTGCATGCCAGTGGTAGACCTCATTGATGAATGAGTTGTCAAACAGTTGGCAGAATTTTTTCTAGGGGCAGTAGAAATTTTTTGGGTAACTGCTGTAAAGAGAATTGGAAATTAACAAAACTATTTAAAAAGTTTGTCAAAAAAAAAAAAGTTTGTCATTAGTAGTTAATGAAGCTTATTGAGTTTCAAAAGTTGTGTTGAGAAGTATTCTTTGCAAGTTATGAAGAATTACAATGATGCTTTGGCCAGTAAAAGTTGTGTTTAAACTGGTATTCTTGTGTTTTGTTTTGTTTTTCAAAATTCAGAGTACAGTTATGGCCACCCAGGTAATGGGGCAGTCTTCTGGAGGAGCAGGGCTGTTCACCGGCAGTGGCAGCATTGGCATGGCGTTGCCTAACGACATGTACGACTTGCATGACCTCTCCAAAGCCGAGCTGGCCGCCCCCCAGCTTATCATGCTGGCAAACGTAGCTTTAACTGGGGAAGTAAACGGCAGCTGCTGCGATTACCTGGTCGGTGAAGAAAGACAGATGGCAGAATTGATGCCTGTTGGGGATAACAACTTTTCAGACAGTGATGGAGAAGGACTGGAGGAGTCTCCTGAAATAAAAGGGGAACCGCATGGACTGGAAAACGTGGAACTGAGAAATTTGGAACTCAGTGTTGTAGAACCTCAGCCTGTCTTTGAGGCATCAGCTGCCTCCGAAGTTTACAACTCAAATAAAGATCTTCCTGCAGAAACACCTGGAGGAGAGGACAAATGCAAGAACTTGAAGACCAAACCCTTTCGCTGTAAGCCGTGCCAGTATGAAGCAGAGTCTGAAGAACAGTTTGTGCATCACATTCGAGTTCACAGTGCCAAGAAGTTTTTCGTGGAGGAAAGCGCAGAGAAGCAAGCAAAAGCCAGGGAATCTGGCTCCTCCACTCCAGAAGAGGGCGATTTCTCCAAGGGCCCCATTCGCTGTGACCGCTGCGGCTACAATACCAATCGCTACGATCACTATACGGCCCACCTGAAGCACCACACCAGAGCTGGGGATAACGAGCGAGTGTACAAGTGCATCATTTGTACATACACCACAGTGAGCGAGTACCACTGGAGGAAACACTTGAGAAACCATTTTCCAAGAAAAGTGTACACATGTGGAAAATGCAACTATTTTTCAGACAGAAAAAACAATTATGTTCAGCATGTTAGAACTCACACAGGTAAGAGAAGCTTTCTAGTCCCCCAAGTTCAGCTCTCAGCTCTAATTGTCAACTGGGTGGTGCTTGAGAACCCAGTGGGACTCTGGGTTCAAATCCAGGTTCTATTGTTTGCTATCTCTGTGACCTTGGACAAGTTATTTAACCTCTTTGTCGCACATTCTCCATGGCGGAACAACATAGATGGGTTTGGAGGATTAAGTGAAGTAACATCTGTAAAACACTGATTGTTATTTGAGAAGAACAGCCCAGAGATCTGAGCAGTGTTCTTCTAAAGTACATATCCTAACAACTTGAGGTAGACCGTTTCACTAAATCAGATTGCGTTGGAAGTTTTTCGATGTGTTTATGTAATAGTGAGCACACCTGAGATACGGTTTAGTTTCTGAAAGGAACTCCGAGGGCTTAGATACAAAAGGGAAAACCCAATGACTAACCTGGCCTGGCTTTATTGAACAAAGTCCTCAAACTTTCAGATATTTGACTTACAGGATTGGGTTCCCAAATGGAACAACTTGTCATTTTCCCCAAAATCTAGAAATTCGAGCAGTTAGGTTTTAAAAGATTGATGGGATTACCACCAGTTGAAACTATTTTCCTAAGAAAGCAAACACACATATGGAAAATGGAGCTATTTTTCAGACAGGAAACAATTATGTTCAGCCTGTCTGAATGCATACAGGTCAAAGGACATTTCTAGTCCATAAGTGTAATTATCAAAAAAGTTGAAACTTTAAAAAAAATTTGAAAAATTTCAAACATCGCAGAAGTCAAGAGAACACCAAGATGCATAATATATACTCTTCACCTACACTCAATATTTCGTCACATTTGACATGCTTTAATCATTTTTTTAAGATAATAGCTTTATTGAAATAAACTTCACAATCATACAGTTCATCCACTTAAAGTGCACAGTTCAGTGGTTTTTAGTGTATTCATAAAGTTATGCAGACATCACCACAATCAATTTTAGGACATTCTCATCACTCCAGAATGAAAGAAGCCCTTATCTATTAGCAGTTGCTTCTCATTTCTTCCCAGCACCCCTTAAAATCACTTTTTAAAAATTTCAACATATCACCGGGGTAATGTTTTGGTTACATATATTGCCTTCCTTAACTTCACTTTTAGATTGGCTTTTCAATATTTGTAATTAAGGGGCCTCATTTTTCAAAGCAGTGTTTGTAACTATTAGTAGTTAATTTTCCCATTTCTGTTACTTTTTCCTAGTAAGAATTGGTGCGTTTGAGGTATGATGAAGGGTCTGAACAAAGTGGATAGAGGAATCTCATCTAGTACTCTGCTCTTTGGATCACAAGTGAAAAGGGCTGTGTGGGGGGGTGCTGTTTGTATCAGGTCTCCTTTGCAGAAGTTGGCATTCTGCAGGACTGAACTCCATAGGTAAAGAGAACACTGGAGAAGGGACTAGACTACATAGTGCTTTGCTTAAGTGGTAGACTTAATAAAACTTATGGATGAAATTCCATTATAAGAAAGACCTCTGCAACAAGATTTCTAAACCTCAGCAGATGGCTCATGTGTTGAATGCTTTAAAATCTAGTCCAGTAAAAGAATTTGCAGTCCCTTCGGAATTTGTTGTAACTAGTGATTGTCTCCATGTTTTTGTTTTTTTTTTGTTTTTTTTTTTTTGAGACAGAGTCTCACTTTGTTACCCAGGCTAGAGTGAGTGCCATGGTGTCAGCCTAGCTCACAGCAACCTCAAACTCCTCGGCTCAAGCAATCCTCCTGCCTCAGCCTCCCAAGTAGCTGGGACTACAGGCATGCACCACCATGCCCAGCTAATTTTTTTCTATATATATTAGTTGGCCAATTAATTTCTTTCTATTTCTAGTAGAGACAGGGTCTCAGTCTTGCTCAGGTTGGTTTTGAACTCCTGAGCTCAAACAATCCTCCCGCCTCGGCCTCCCAGAGAGCTAGGATTACAGGCGTGAGCCACCGCAGCCGGCCTGTCTCCATGTTTTGAAACTATTCAATTTCAGAAGTAAAGTTCACACACTACAAAAGGTACATAGTATAGGAAACTAAGTTACCTTAATTACTGTTAAGACAAACTGTTAGATAAATCTGTAGACCCAACTAATTTCACCTACAGAGTTTCTTTGCATGATAAAGTCTTGCTCTGTAGCCTGGGCTAGAGTGCAGTGCCATGATCATAGCTCACAGCAACCTCAAACTTGTGGGCTCAAGTGATCCTCCTGCCTCAGACCCGTACATATCTGGTGCTGTAGGTATACCTGGCTAATTTATTTATTTTTTTTGTAGAGATGGGGTCTTGCTCTTGTTCTTGGTGGTCTCAAACTCCTGGCCTCAAGTGATCCACCTGCCTGACCATCACCTACAAATTCTTTTTAAAAAATCCCAGATACCATATATATTTTGTCCATAAAGTATTTTTTTTTTATTTCGGCATATTATGGGGGCATAAAGTATTTCATATCATATTTCTTTAACAGTTTTTTTCTAAAACCTTGGGCCCTAATTTGGAATTGCCAATAATGTATAGCATTCAGGTAGCAACTGTGACACACGGTAAAGTGTGTGACTTATGTGAACACCCTAATGAAGTTACATATTTTTACAAATGTATGCAGTTGGCCAACTGCAACTTTTCTGTATTCATGGGTTCTACATCCTCAGATTCAGCCAACCAAGGATCCAAAAAAAAGATGATCCTGTACTGAACATGTATAGACTTTTTTCTTGTCATTATTCCCTAAACAATACAGTATCTCAACTATTTGCCTAGCATTTACATTGCATTATGTATTACAAGTAATCTAAAGTCTACAGGAGATTTTGAGAGGGTTTGTGTAGGTTATGCACAAAAACTACACCCTTTTGTATAAGGGACTTGAGCATGAGTGAGTTCTGATATCCTCAGGAGGTCCTGGAACCAGTCCCCCTTAGTCTACACCAAGGGACGACTGTATACTCATAACCACCATGTATGTTAACGTATAGAATTAGTATTAGTACCCCAGTGTCTGTGTCTTATTAAATTTTGGTGTTTTTTGGTCAATTGTAATTTTTTTTTTTTTAAGAGATGAGGTCTCCCAATGTTTTCCAGGCTGGTCTTGAACTCTTGGGCTCAAAGCAATCCTTTTGCCTCAGCTTACCATGTAGCTGGAATGCTTGGCTGGTCACTTGTATTTTTTTTTTTCCTTGAGGTCACTTGTATTTTTGATAACCTCAAAACCATTGGGTTACTGATTAATTTAACAGTTTTCTCAAGAAACTAAAAAAATGTTTTCAACAGTAAATTTAAATTTGTTGATTTAAGAACATTTTTAGAAGGAAAAAATGCAAAATAGAAAGAATGAGAAAATTCACTGTTGGTGTATATTTCTGATTTTTATGTAAAGGTTTTTGAAAGGAAAACTCAACTTTTTGCCATTTAAATTTTTTTGTAGAGTGGTTTATTTTCATTTGATTAATCTAGGGGACTAATTTTTTTTTACATTTTTAAAATTTTTACATTTTATTTTTATTTTTTGTGATCTCATGGAGTTTTAGCTGAGGTCCAAGGGGACTAATTTTTAATGGCCATATTTTATGTTTGTAACTATATCCATTATTTATTTCCCTTTTTAAGGTTTATTGTTTTTTTATTTCCTTTATTCTTTGCCACTTTGCTCAGGATAGGGTCAATAAATTTGTACAATAAAGTTATAATTACATAGCTAACATTAGTTGTATCTCATATCATATTTTAGTGTTAATTTATTTGGTCTAAATTTTTCTTTTTCTTTCTTTTTTTTTTTTTGAGACAAGAGTCTTGCTCTGTTGCCCCAGCTAGAGTGCTGCAGTGGCATTGTCATAGCTAACTGCAACCTCAAACTCCTGGGCTCAATCTCAAGCAATCCTCCTGGCTCGGCCTCCTGAATAGCTGGGACTACAGTGCATGCTACCAGTCTGTTTCTCTATTTTTTGTAGAGAACAGGTCTCACTCTTGCTCCTTGGCCTCCCTGAATGCTAAGATTACAGACGTGAGCCACTGCTTCTGGCCCAAAAAATCTCTTAAAAGTATTAAGATCTAGCTGAGTGAGGTGGCTCACGCCTGTAATCCTGGCACTCTGGGAGGCCAAGGTGGGAGGATGGCATGAGGCCAGGAGACCAGCCTGGGTAAGAGAGAGACCACCATCTCTACTAAAAATAGAAAAAATTAGCATGGTGGTGCATGCCCATAGTCTGAACTGCTCTGGAGGCTGAGGTAGGAGGATGGCTTGAGCCCAGGAGTTTGAGGTTGCTGTGAGCTAGCCTAACGCCACTGTACCCTAGCCTAGGCGACAGAGTGAGACTGTGCCTCAAAAAAAAAATTTTTTTCCCCCCTGTGGTTTTAACTTAAGTGTGATTTTTATGTGTGTGTATAAAATATATATTTTAAAAAGAAATTGGTGCTGTATAAGTTGAATGTTAATGCATTTTTTTGTATTTTTAAAATTTTATAAATTTTAATTTTATTTCTTTTTAAATCCATTTTTATTTTTTTTTCTCAAAGATAACTTGGTAAAATATTTTGATTATGTGAATTCTGAGTATCTCTGGCATTAAATGTATAGTTCTGAAAATTATATTTATGGAAAATTCTAGTGCTGAAGAGTAGAGATAAGAAATGACAGCAGGAGTCACTTCTCATTTCCACTTGCAGTATTAGGTAGCCTAGTTTTCAGGTTCACTTAATGGGTTTATTGTGTTCCTTATCCAGTACCCAGAATTAGGTGCTGTCTCTGTTATACATTAATCTTCAGAACAATCCATTGAGGAAAATAGCATCTGTGGTAGTAGTCCATGTTTACAGAGAGGAAAATTTTAGATTTGAAAGACTGAAGTGATATGCCCAAGGTCACATACAAGTAGCACTTAAAGTTTAGAAATCTCTTTATTCTACAGTAATTGTCATGGTGGTGGTGGATTACTTTCATTCAAGTTGGCCTCTAATTTTGTGGTTTTGCTATTTAAGCAGTTGACAAATTCTACTTTGAAAGAAACCGTTTTTGCCTATATGTGTAACTGAAAAATCAGTGCCTGGCTTTCTAGAAGAGTAGTTATGCCTAGTTTGTGGAGTTGTGCAGATAAAGTAATCTCTAAAGAATTTAAAAGTAAATTATCCTTAATAGATTCCCTGTTAATCTGCAGTAGTATTTAATTTATTCTTCCATCAACAGTTTATAACAACTTTTTTTGAGATACAGTTTATATACCATATAATTTGCTGTGGATTAGCCTGATGTAGACAGTTCATATGAATGGAATCATAAAATATACAGTCCTGTGTGCATAGTATCACATTTTCAAAGTTCATGCATGGTGTCATGTATACAGTACTTGTTTTCCTTTTATTGACAAATAGTATTCTCTTGTATGGATATGTAACATTTTGTTTATCCATTCTGCAGTTGATGGATGTTTGGGTTGTATCCACTTTTCGGCTATTAAGAACAATGCTGCTATGAAAATTCATGTTTAAGTTTTTATTTATTTATATTGGTATGTACCTAGGAATGGAATTGCAGGGCTGTATGGTAGCTATTTTTACTGATATTTAACCTTTTGGGTAACTGCCACATTGTTTGCCAAATATTAGATACACCATTTTATGGTCCTGGCAGTGTATGAGTATTCCAGTTTCTCCACATATTCGTCTTCACCAGTATTGTTAATATCTTTCCTTCTGATTGTAGCCATCCTAGTGGGCATGAAGTCTTTATCTCATTGTGGTTGTTTTTTTTTTTTTGAGACAGTCTCACTGTGTTCCCTGGGCTAGCGTGCCCTGGTGTCAGTCTAGCTCACAGCAACTCCGGGGCTTAAGCAATCCTCCTGCGTCAGCCTCCCGAGTAGCTGGGACTACAGGCATGCACCACCATTCCTGGCTAATTTTTCTCTGTATTTGTAGTTGGCCAATTAATTTCTTTCTATTTTTTAGTAGAGATGGGGTCTTGCTCTTGCTTGATCTGTTTTCAAACTCCTGACCTTGAGCAATCCTCCCGCCTCAGCCTCCCGGAGAGCTAGGATTACAGACGTGAGCCAGGGCGCCCAGCTGCTACCAGCTCTTTATAGCTAATCTACAGATAATAGCTAATTGTAGCAGAATAGTTACTGGGCACAGTTCCCACTCATTACCATTCTTTTTTTTTTTCATAGCTTCTTGTCCCATTTTATTAGACAAATGTGTTACTGTATCACAAGATTAATAGTTGATATTTATTGAGGGCTTACTGTGTGCCAGGCAGTGTTAAATACTCTGCATATATTATCTAATTTAAATTCTCAACAATTATAGGAAATGAGGGTACTGGCACTTTTATAGATGAGGAAGCTGGGTGTTTGTGTAACTTTCCCAAGGTCATAATTATTTTGTGTCCATAGACTGTCTGAAAACAAATTGTTCACCTTTTATTAAAATCTATTTTGTTAAAATGTATTAACAGTCCATGTCTGAAAAGAATATACATTGCCCTGCCTTTGAATCTTTAATTCTTTAGTACCAAATCACTGGCCATCTTTACTTCAGTTGCTCTTAGTCCTTATGGCTTTTATAATTTTACACTTGATGACCTAACTATTTTGTAAATTGCATAATAGTTCTGCCGCGTGAAATTTTAGCTTAAAGCAACGACATCCCTACTCAGAAGGGTTGTTGCTTTAAGCTAACAATTTCAAATGGTAGATCATTTACAAGGATCAAAAAATTACCCAAGCACCAGAAAATTTGGGTAGATATTTTTAAAGGTTAATTCTGCATTGTTAATACATGATAAATCTACGTTTTTGCTAGGAATAGGAAAAAAGTCCATGGTAAAAAGTGTTCAGCATTGAATATTGTTACTTTGTTAATGAGAATAGTATTTGGCTTATTTTGTTACATTTTAATACTGTTCATTATAATTTTGCAGGAGAACGCCCATATAAATGTGAACTTTGTCCATACTCAAGTTCTCAGAAGACTCATCTAACTAGACATATGCGTACTCATTCAGGTTGGTAAGAAATGGAAACTTCTCTACCATTTTCAGTAAATGACCATTATGAAAGGAAATTCTTTTAGACTTGGAATGGAGCTATTTATTTTTTATATAATTTAGAAATTAGAATTAAAATAGAAGTCAGTGTTCTGTCAGTGTGCATCTGTATTTAAATGGGGATTCTTAACATAGAATCCATAGGTGGAACTCCTGAAACTGAATGTAAATTTGCAGGTATACTTTTTCTAGGAGGAGGATCCTTAATTTTCTTCAGATCTTTAAAGAGGTCCATGACTCACTCCTCCAGTAAAAATTACTAACGTAGACCAAGGCTGGCTCATCCATTCTGGAGAACCCCTACCCTCTCACCTTCCCCCTAGCAGTGTAACACCGAGTGTTATACCGTGCTGTGGCCTGGTGTCAGGGATTCCTTCTTAGGGTCTCAGGTCTGGAAATTTGGGTTTGTTCTGTTTTGAGAATTGACAGGGCTTTTGAGGATTGATTTACAGAAGTTTAACTTAAAAAAGAAAATAATAGGTAATCCAGGATGCAAATTTATTAACCTGTACTAAAAATTCAGGACTATCACAAGTGGGAGATTGAGCCACTCCAGTGACTCAAACAGTCATGATCACCACTCAGAACTGGTCCTTATTATCAAGGTAGTAAGTGGCCAAGTAAAAAAGTCAGTGTTAGCATTGGTGATCTTGAATGGTAATTATTTCATTTTGGCCTTGATTTGCCCTTGGTGAGCACCACTTCTGATCAGAATACTCCCCTTCCAGATGTAGAATGTATGTCCTTGTGGGGAAAGTAGGCTAAAACATCTTGCTGTTTACAAAAGTCTATGTAAACCCTGCTCCCTTAAATTAATAATTACCTTAAATCTGTGTTGTCCAGTTGGGTAGCCACTAGCCATCTGTGGCTAATTGAGCTTGTAAAACATGGCTAGTTTGAGTTGAGATTTATAAAATACATACATTGTGGTATGTATTTTATAATACAGTATGAAGAATGTAAAATATCTATTTTTCATGTGTATTGTGTGTCATAATTATTGTATATATTGGTTGAAACAAGTAATAAAATTGATTTTGCCTGTTCCTTTTTTACTTTTGTAATGTGACTCCTAGAAAATTTAAAATTACATGTGATTCATATTACATTTCTATTGGACATTGCTGCCTTAACCTCAGTAATAAAAGATTTGACTATGTAACAGATTCTGACTTATTTGAGCAGCTATGAAGGTGTCCCGTGGCATGCTTGCTAGTCTTTCTTGACTCTACATGCTTGTCATGTCACTGTACTTTGTTCCTTGTAAATCCCCTACGCTGTTGAGTTGTGCCACTTTAGCAGAAACCTGGTTTTATTACTTTTGGGAGCTTCCTGGTTTCATTCTTTGAGGGTAACGTGAATGCAGTCTCAGGCTGTGTTGAGGGTAGGCATCGTGTCCTGTTGATAGCTATAATCCAGCCCATTGATGAAACATTTAAGAGCTTTACATGCATTAAACTCATTTAGTCCTCAAACTATTTTAGATTGTATGAGTTCTGTTATCCCAATTTTTTATAGATGGGGAATCCAAGGCATTGAATAAATACGACCATTTTTCCTGTAGAATGCATCCCCTTCTGGATATGTTTACTTACTTTCTCATGGTGTCATTTAGCTTTTGTTTGGTCCCTTCTATTACTTGTAAACTGAAAATTAAATCTAAATGTTTGGTATTTACCTATCAAATGATGTGCCTCATTTAAAGTCACATCTGGTTGGCCCGTTGCTAATAATGTTGGGTCACTGGATTAGAATGATGACATATTTGCATTCTTTCATTGAGTTAATAATATTTTGTCACTGTGTAAACGTTTGTTTATGGTGTTTTTTACCAGTTGTTAATCTTTGCCTGAAACAATTATTTAGGTTTGCTAAATGTCTTGAGTTTTGTTTGTTATATTTTAAAGATTTCAATAGTTATAGTACAGCAAATATTTTAACAGGCTCTTAGTAACTAGTAGGAACTACTATTTACTATGTGCATGCTAGGTACTGAAAAATAGCTATTTGTTTCCTCTCTCTTTAGTACTGTGAAGGTACTGAATCCTAGTTAGGTTAGAACACCGGCTCAGAGAGGATAAGCACTTTTAGGTTAATAGTCAGTCCTCAAAATTAGAAGACCTGGGGTTTGTCTTCAGACTCCCTGAGCCTCTCACGTTGATCAGCAGTGTTAGAACATGCTGGTTCAGAAGGCGGCTCAGGTAGAGGCCGCAGCATAATGAAACTGTAACTACACTGTGTTGAGAGAGCAGAACAACCATGCATTGTCTTTTATTGGATTGTAACAGTTTGTGAGTCACAGACAGGAAATAAAAATGGTTAGTCTGTTTTGTGCATGGGCGTGCTGAATTATTTTCAGCAGAACCTACGTTTTAATAGCAGTTGCTGATAATACTTGAAATAAAGTGGGGCTAAGTTCAGTCAAATTGGGTAGTCCTTTAGACTGGTTTGCATGGAGTGACTATTTGGTGCTTTCTCTAGGGTCCGGGTTTTTTTTCTCTTTAATAAAAGGTGGGAGTACTCACCACTGTACTAATGAGCACAGGGTCTGGGTTCGATCTTCACAGGTCACCTCGGGCATTTTTGGTTTTTTTGTTTGTTTTTTTTTTTAGTTAAAGCTTTTCTTCTTCTTCTTTTTTTTTTTTTTAGTTCAGCATATTATGGAGGTACAAATATTAAGGTTACGTATATTGCCCATGCCCCCACCCCACCCCGGCATTTTGGTTTCTTCATGAGAATGTATTTTAGGGAAGAGACGTGTGAGCTTAGGGTGTGTTATTTCTGGAAGAGATGAAGCTCTGTTGAGTTAAGACATTTTAGAAAAAGTGACAAATATGGCAAAACTCCATCAGTTATTTACTTGGAACACCTAACCGCAGGATGAGTCTTCTCAGGCCAAGTTTGAGAGGAATCAGAATATTTGTTTTGTAAAACAGAAAATGGCTTGTTAGTGGAAACATAGACACTAACCTCACCCCGCGTTATTCTCCATTTCATTGGTATTTCTTCCTAATAGTATTAGGGTATCCTCTCCTGAGTAGTCCTAGAGACACTGACCGTATCCTGAGCTCTCCCTTCCCAACCGATAGTGGAAGTGCCACCATCTAGTTAATTTGCCATTTGGATATTTTTGTATATGTATCACACAGGCTAGTTGCCCCTGTCCTGCTAGCATAGAAAGTCATTTTGCATGTTTTCTCATTATATGCACAAGGAATGTTTTTGTTAAAGGGAACTAACAACTTGCCACGTTTCACCTCCATTTATTATACTTACTTTTTTAAGGTGGGAAAATATTTTATTCAGCAATATGTTTATTTTGTTTTCACCAACTATTTGGTGATTCTTGTTGGGGGACTATGTACCAGTAGCTGGGATTATACGAAAGATATTATGGTTTGAGAGTTTTTTCGTGAATTCTAGAATAGGTTTTTAAACAGTATTTTATTGAGGACTGATACACAAACATGGAAAGGCACACGTCTTAGGTATACATCTCTGTGACTTTGTTTTCACCTGTTTTCGTTGCCACGCACATCAAGACACGGAACATTTCTACTAAGAAAAGTTCCTTACCCTTTCCAAGTCAGTCTTCCCCCTACATGCTGTTTGACTTCTCCTATCAAAGAACATGGCAGCATTCTTTCATAAAACGTGCCTTGAGGGAGTTTCATCCCATGTTGCATTATCAGAACTACATTTTTATTGCTTATAATCCACTGTATGCTCCTATTAATCTTTAGTTAAAAATTTCCCTTGCCATTCTTTCTACATTATACAGAATGTGCAAAGCTTGTCAAAATCTTTCCCCTTTTGACTTGGCTTACACCTAGAAATTAATTTTGGAAGAATTAAAAGAGACAATTGTCCCATTTATAAGATGAGAAATGTAGGTAGAATTGGAAAAAGGAACCATTTGTACAGGGCAAAAAGATGTATGTTCAGCTAGGTACCAATAGATTGGAAAATCTATGAAACAAGATTTAATGGCAACAGAGTGAAAATTGGGGAAGAAAAATCAAATGGGGCGAGTAAATTGTAACATTAAATTTAAAACAGAAAATTCGTACATCCTCCCTTTCTCTGACCATTTCTTAGGTAGAGGCTTATACTTAGATTCCCTTATTCATTAGTGGTAATAAAATGGTGATATTTTAATTATGATTCTTTTATTAGTGTAAATATTTTTATAAAGAGATAAAACTCCATTCACCAGCTCTTTGTTTGCTCAGAGGTCGGGTTTATATAGGAAAGACGGGATAAATATTTGAATCTTCCCTTTTATTTACCCATACTCAAAGTTACCAGTTGGTTCCAGAAGTAAGCAATTACAGGTAATGGCATGTTGAGTGCTTACTCTCTGCTTGATGTTAACATGGGGTAGATTATTTATAGCTCACAATCCTTAGAGAGTGTTTTATAGATAAAGAAATTCAGCCCTAGAGAGGTTTCAGGAGTTTCTCAGTAAGCAAATTGCAGAGCCCATATTTTATCTCCCAGGTACTCTAACTTTAGAACAAGTTCTTAGCCACTACGACACCTATCTTTCTCCATTCTGTCTATATATATGTTAAACAAATATTTGTCTCCATTTAAATCGTTCAATGGAGAGGACAGTATAAAGCCAAGTGTGGCATAATGCAGCATGTTATAGAAACCTCCCTATTTATTGAATTTATTAGTGAATGGACATGGGAAAGAATTGTCCAAGTATCTGTGTATCCAATGTGATATATCTGGATAAGTTTTTGCTTTTGTGATTATTTTATCACCAGACATTTTCTAATCATGTAATATGTAAGATTAAGCCAAACATGGTTTTGCTTAATGTCTGAGTTCTGTTTTAAGAGAAATTTTAATGAGATTTGATATAACTTTGAGAATGTTTGAGATGAATTTTCATAAATGTCAATTTCCATTTTTCTACTATGCATTCCATTGGACCAGTGGGGTATGGATACCATTTGGTAATATTTACTAGAGTGTGATCTAGATGGGTATGTATTCAGGTAGAATGTATTGTTACTCTTATGCCTTTAATTTGGGGGTGGAGGTGGTTCTGGTTTTGTATGCATCTGTGATTATGACTTTGCTTATTTTTACATGCCATATCTATTTGTATGCCACTTCTCGTTTACCTAATTTCTTTGCCCATTTTATAGAAAAGGTAGGGGGAAAAAAATGAAGTTTTCTGAATAATTACCCTGGCTTATATTTTTGCTTTAAAATAGCAACTCTAGCACTAGAAAAATGTGCTGAGTGAAACTTTACTCTTGCCATGATGGAAAAAAGGGTTAAGTTTCAAGAAAAAGCCTTTGCTCCTTTTGCCTCCCTTAGGCTAAAGCAGTTTTGAATGATTTATCTTTAAAAAAGTTATGGGAATTTTTGTATTCTACTCCATTATACATTTATTTTAAATAAACATAAACAATTTTAAAATTGATTAGTTTTTCTGAGTGACCTTGCCTCCAAATTAACATCCAGAGGCCATCTGAACTTTACCAATAATGGTGCACTTCTGTCGCCTGGGCTAGAGCTCAGTGGTATCATCATAACTCACTGCAGCCTCCAACTCCTGGGTTCAGGTGATCCTCCTGCCTCGGCCTCCTGAGTAGCTGGGCCTACAGAGGCACACTACCATGCCTGGCTGATTTTTTTTTTCTTTTGTAGAGATGGAGTTTCTGTGTTGCTCAGGCTTGTCTCTCACTCCTGGCTGCAGGTGTGAGGCACTGCCCAGCTGAGTCTCTGTTTTCTAATAGTGCTTGAGAGCTCTAAATTGATGGACATTTTTTTTCTTTTTCTTTTTTTTTGATGAACTTTTTTCAAACTCCTGTCCTTGAGCTATCCTCCCGCCTCGGCCTCCCAGAGTGCTAGGATTACAGGCGTGAGCCACCACGCCTGGCCTTGGATGGACTTTTTTGAAGATGATGATTGAGATAATTTTATTCCTCTTGGTTTGAGAATCAGTGTCATGGGGTAGAGAATTGTTATACAAGTAAATATGGTAAATGTAAGGTGCATGAAACAGTCTTTCAATAAATAGTCTTTGTGGTTATTTTACATGTACAATTCCTTGTAAGTATATTTTAGTCTTGAATTTATGTTTTAATCTGTCTTCTCTGACACCTTTTGTTTACCTTTAGGTGAGAAGCCATTTAAATGTGATCAGTGCAGTTATGTGGCCTCTAACCAACATGAAGTAACCCGCCATGCAAGACAGGTTCACAATGGGCCCAAACCTCTTAATTGTCCACACTGTGACTACAAAACAGCGGATAGAAGCAACTTCAAAAAACATGTGGAGCTACATGTTAACCCACGGCAGTTCAATTGCCCTGTATGCGACTATGCAGCTTCCAAGAAGTGTAATCTACAGTATCATTTCAAATCTAAGCATCCTACTTGTCCTAATAAAACAATGGATGTCTCAAAAGTGAAACTAAAGAAAACCAAAAAGCAAGAGGCTGACTTACCTGATAACAATATTACCAATGAAAAAACAGAAACAGAGCAGATAAAAATAAAGGGGGACGTGGCTGGAAAGAAAAACGAGAAGTCTGTAAAAGGGGAGAAAAGAGATGTTTCAAAAGAGAAAAAGGCTTCTAGTAGCGTCTCAGTGATCCAGGTGACTACCAGAACTCGCAAATCAGCAGCAGAGACTAAAGAGACGGATGTGCACACGGGAGGTAATTCAGAAAAGTTCTGTAAAACCAAGAAAAGCAAAAGGAAGATGGAAGCCGAAGCCCAGTCCCCACGTGGTCCTGTGAATGATGAGGAACCTGCGACGAAAAAGAAAAAGAAGGTAGAAAGCAAATCCAAAAGCAGTCAGGAAGTGCCAAAGGCTGACAGCAAAGTGGAGGAGAATAAGAAGCAAAATACCTGCGTGAAAAAAAGCACAAAGAAGAAAGCTCTAAAAAGCAAGTCAAGTAAAAGAAGCAGCAAGCCTGCTCAAAAGGAACCTGTGCAGAAGGGGGCTGCCGAGAAGGGGCCTGCTCCCGTGGAGGCGGTTCAGAAGGAGCCTGCTCAGGTGGGGCTGCCTCCTGCCACGGAGGCTGTTGAGGAGGGGCCTGCTCCTGTGGAAGTTGTTCAGGAGGAGCCTGCTCGGATGGAGCTGCCTTCTTCCGTGGACGCGGTTCAGAAGGAGACTGCTCAGATGGAGCTGCCTCCTCCCATGGAGGTCGTTGAGAAGGAAGCCGCTCAGACAGGGCCCATTCCCATGGAGGTCGTTGAGAAGGAAGCCGCTCAGATGGAGCTGCCTCCTCCCGTGGAGATTGTTCAGGAGGAGCCTGCAAAGATGGGGCCTGCTCCCATGGAGGCTGTTCAGGAGGAAGCTGCTCAAATGGAGCCGCCTCTTCCCGTGGAGGCTGTTCAGCAGGAGCCTGCTCAGATGGAGCCGCCTCCTCCCCTAGAGCCTCCTCTTCCCATGGAGCCAATTCCCAAAAAGTCTCCTCTCCGAAAAGATAGGAAGGAAAAGTCTAACGTGCAGAGCGAAATGGCACGGAAGGAGCAAGTCCTTATTGAAGTCGGCTTAGTGCCTGTGAAAGACAGCCGCCTTCTACAGGACAGTGCAAGGACACAGGCCCTCCCACCACCGTCGCCCCTGCTGCCAAAGGAAAGCTCAGAGGAAGAGGCATCAAAAGACCAAAAATTATTCTCCGAAGGTGAAGGAAATAAGGAAGCCCCTCTTCAAAAAGTAGGAGCAGAAGAGGCAGATGAGAGCCCAGCTGGTCTTGCTGCTTATGTCAAGGAATCCACCAGCGTTTCATCCTCTGGACAAAACTTGGATATGCCAGAGGGCGAAACTTCAGATGGTAAACACCAGACTGACAATATTGTTTGTGACACGGAAATGGACACTGATCAGAGCACAACGGAGAACCTCCCTGGCAAAGACTCAGCAGTTGAAGAACCAGGTTCACCATTGCTCCTTCCCCCCCCAACAGAAGAAAGTGAAGCAGTGTCCAAAACCACTGTGACGTCACCTCCTCTTACCATGGCAGTAAACGAGTCTCAGGAAATTGATGAAGACGAAGGCATACACAGTCACGATGGAAGTGACCTAAGTGACAACATGTCAGAGGGGAGTGATGATTCTGGATTGCATGGGGCTCGGCCAGCTCCACAAGAAACTAGTAGAAAAAATGCAAAGGAAGCCTTGGCAGTGAAAGTGTCCAAGGAAGATTTTGTTTGTATCTTCTGTGATCGTTCTTTCAGAAAGGAGAAAGATTTCAGCAAACACCTCAATCGCCATTTGGTTAACGTGTACTTCCTAGAAAAAGCAGCTCAAGGACAGGAGTAATGAAACTTTGGACAAGGTTTCAATTCTTAGTTTGTAAGGTCTATTACATTTTATATCCATTTATAATAGTAGAAAACTTTTTTAAGATTGCTTTAATTAGTGTCCAATGTTGATTTTTAAGTGGCATTCTTTTCCTTAGGACTTTATATATACCTGTTGATTGTTGTATACATTTTAGCAAATCCAAGGGAGTTAGTATACTAAACCAGCAGACAAACCTAAATCTGTTAGCTTATGTGTTTAATGGAAATGAGACGGCCAAGATGGTATAATAGCATTCTGTTGCTTTGTCCAGCTACAGCTTGTCAGTTTTTTCTCCATGTCTACTTCCCGTTTTACTTTAGTTTATTTTTAGTTCCTTGTTTACCTCTATAAAAAATTGGCTCACTTACTAGCAAATTACTTGAAGAATTTGCCTGCTTTATATAAAGTTAGCACTTTAAGATTTTGTTTTAGAGAAGAAAAGACATTTAAATTGAAGAGAAATTCTCCCAACAATGGACATTCTATCAGTCCAGGTATTTACTTCCTGAGTTTTGATCAATATTTCTAATTTGTATATGTTAATTGTCATAAAAACAGTGATTTTGGTGTGTTTTATTTTGGTGCTTTAATGGCTTAAGATGTTGCACATTGCTTTGTGTGTTTTTTTTTAACCTATGCAGTTAAATATTTCCTAGAAATAGCATTTGTATGAACAGTAACACTTTATACATATATGCATGTTTATTTTGGCCTCTCTGGAGGAGGGATGCTTTTAGGCTTGTTTGCAAAAGGACAGTTTTCTTTTTCTTTGCTGCAATTGTCTTTTTTGCAGAATAATAGTGTGTGCAAGTTTGTGAGCAAATGAAACATGCAGATTCAATCCTTTGATTTTGATTTTCACGTATTATATCTATGCCAGAATCTGTATTTTGTATAAGTTATTTATTTTGAATGGATGTAGTGAATTCACAGCTCTCAGTTTTGATTTTGTAGTAAATTAACCACTAGGTTCCATATTGAACAAATTTTTATCTCAAACACCAACCATCAGTTATTGGGTTTTTTGTGTGTTTTGGTACAGCTAATTCCTGATAGTAGAGTGTTAAATCATATCATTGAAGAAAACCTTTTCTCATAGATGGTTGGTGTCCAAGTATGGCTACTTAAATATACTGAATAAAGAACTGTAAGTGATGGACATTGCAGACCTGGAATCAGGAGACATAATTATTCCTTCAAGTTTTTATAGAATATCACTTGGGAGATTCCAAAGCCATAGCTATTATACAGCAAACCCTAGGATCAGAGAGGTGGTATGAGTGCTGGCAGACCAGCTGCAGCTTCCTAGAAATACAGTGAAAAAGGCTGGTGAAACTTAAGTACGGTCCAGATTTTAAAAAATCATACTTTCTCAGGGATCTCCACAAACCAGTGGGTGTCCTGGCTGTGCCTGTGACAGCCTCATTCTACAGGTGAGGCCTCAAATGAATTCGTTACTCTGAGGTGTTCTGTGGGGCACTTTGTATGAAAAAGGGCGTGTACTCCAAAACTTTTTTTCCTAGATTCTTTGGCCAGTTGCCAAAGATTAGGGAAGAATCCAACCTAGGATTTTTCTTACTGATAGGAGTTATTCATTGCAGTAAAATAAAGTATAATCCCAATAGAGAATCTTGAATTCTGACCTCCCATATTCTATTTTGATATAACCACTTTATATTTCATTTACTTTTTTTTGAATCCGGTGATCTCTTTCAGGTAGGTAGCAGATTTTGGCAGTACAACATGAAAGATTAGGAAAAACGTTAATGATGTGTGGGTGGAAAACTTGTTCAAAATCTGAGAGAGAAGTCTGAGTTAAAAGTTGTTTGGAAAAGGAAAAAAAAACAAAAACAAAATCAAAAACAAAAAGTTGTCTGGACTTGGAATTGACTGGGAGGCCAAAGATTTAAGAAAGCAGAAGATTCTCTCAAGACAGGAGGAGTAAGTTGTGTGACAATGGTGTGTGCTTTGTGTGAATGGGAATTTGTAAATGTTGAATTCTAGGCTCTGACAATCATTGTCAACAAAAGATCAAGCTGCAAATATTTATGTTTTAAAACTTAAATTATAAACCTAGTTAAATCTAACAACTAGTTTAATGTTCGTGGCTACATTTTACCTAAGTTACAGTTTACATTATATAGAAAAAGATTCATTTTAAGCACAGATTGGATACTGGGAATCCATTTGGGGAAGGGGTTTTGTGGATTCTTTCATACTGCAAAAGAAAAAAAATTGCCTTCTGCGGAATTGAACTAATTTCTAATCTGGTCTTTAAGACTAGAATACTAAAAACAAAAATATGAAGGAAATTAAACCCCTTATTATTAAATTGATTTATAATAGCATTGTTACTGGAAATGGATTGGAACTTGAGGCCTTTCTTCCAGAAAATAATGACTTGATTGTCAGGCCTATATTAGGTTCTGAACCTTAATGCCATGTATTTGTACTCACTAAAAATTGTTTCAGTGAAAAGTATACAGCAACTATGAACTTCTGGTCACTCTGAATTTCCTCCATTTGAAAAATGTGTTATTTGCATGGAACTGTTGAATCTTTTATAATTCTAGTCCCTTCTCCTCTCCCACTGGATAGAATTGAAGCTAGAATTTTCCCTTTTGATAAAGAACAAAAAAATGAACAGTATGATTGTAAATTGATGTTTGTTACCTAGCAATAAACTTGAAATACTAGAATACAGTTATAAGCCTTAATCCTAGGTAGTCTCTATGAAAATGCTCGTAACCTATCTTTTGAACCTATATTCACATTGGTTTTCAAAGATTTTTAAGTTATATTTTCTCTTTTAGTCAGAGCTGTTATTTTGGGGATAACTTTGTTTATTGAGGTTAGATCTCACAAGGGCTGCATTTTTTTTTTTTTTTTTTTTTTTTTTTTGATAAGGCTCTCTATAACTACTAGCTGGATTTTGCTTTGTCTTCCAAGAAAGGGCCATTTATCTTTTTTAAGAGCACTTCTAAAGTCATGTGCGTCATTACTTTGGAGGACTATTTCTTGCACGACGTGCTGAATACAATACAACGCCGAGTAGACCTCATTGCATGTTACCGGCTGTTGCATGAACTGTTTGAAATGAAGGAATACCTTGCCTGTAGTATACTGTCAATTCTGACTGAAAAGCTGGGGCAGAAACTTATTTCTTGTTTTGGCATAAAGTCAGAAAAACATACAGCTGGTTGTGCCCGAGTTCCTTGTTACCTCAGCAGATGAAGGTGAACGGATATGTTAATTCAGATGAAGAAATTCTTTTATCTGATCTTGTTGCTGAGATTTGCCATCTACATGCAAATATGTAACTAAAATCAGATAGCTTTTACTGTTCCCATAATGTACATACGCCCCACCCCCCTTCCCACATCCATGAGTTATTGTACTTGTAACTGGCATGAAACAATACAGCAATGTTTTTGCACCAATTATAAACTTACACAGTGGCAATACGTGTTATTTCTCTGTAGGCAAACCACAAGTAAATTCTCAAGGTTCTTGCTTGCGCTTTAGCACCTTATCGATCTTTATACATGTATTAGATGAACAATGACACAATTGCAAATCCTTTTTTACAAATTAACGCAATGTACCAAGTTTTTGTCCCAAATTGTTAAGGATAAGTTAAACTAAATTGCATCATTAACCAATATGAGCTGTATTCTGTAAGCATAGTTATGTTGAATAAAGTTTAAAAAGCATGATGTCTTTGTTCTATTATGACACAATGACCAAGGAAGCCAAATTATGATTTTGCGGAAGTGTGAGTGTATAGTATTTCAGATTATTTTCCTCAAAGACTGACCGCACTGTACGGTAGCAAAGGTCACAGCAATTTTGATTGTTTGGCAGCAGTTCTTGGTACTCCTACACATACTGCTTTCTGAGGTGGGTGGGAGAAACTGGGCAATTCACAAGCTTTAACTTTTAAAATTTTATTTTTGAACAGAGCTTACCTTGACCGTCTAAGGCCAATGGCAGCACCTAGCATCAACAGCAACCCCAAATCCCTGGCCTCAAGCGGCTCTCCTGCCCTCAGCCTCTTCGAAAGCTGGACATCGACAGCATCGCACCCGATGCCCGCTAATTTTTCTGTAAGTTTAGTTGCCCAATTAACTTCATTTAGTAGCAGACGGGTCCTCCACTTTTTCAGCTTTCTAACTCCCGACCTTGAGATGATCCTGCCCCGGCCTCCCAGCACACAGAGGTTTTAAAAATTAGCAACCACCAGGTCGCCTTAATAGTTAATATGTGTATTCGTCTAAGTAGCAGGCCCTGGTTAGATTTCAATCTAATTTAACAAATATTTGAATCGGAGATATTGAGTTACTTGAACTGTACGAACGCCAGCCATTAAGATTTCCACTTGTGTCTTACACGAACTTGAGAAGAACGAATCCCAGGGGAAAGGTACACCATTTAGTAAGGCCGCTTCCTTGTTAATGAACAACATACAGAGAATATAAGCTTATGTGTTTTGTGGAAAAAAAAAAAAAAAAAAAAACAGTTTGAGAAAGACAAGTGACAGAAACCTCCTGGCTATGTGCACAGCATCGAACCAAATGACTGGATTTATCTTTCTTTTTTCTTTCTTTTCTTTTTTTTTTTGAGACACGTAGTTCAACTTGTTGCCCAGCGCTTAATGAGTCCGTGGCGTCATCCTAGCTCACAGCAACCTCAAACGCCCTGCCTCAACAACCTCGCCTGCTCAGCCCCCGACTACTGGACTACAGCATGTGCCCCACGCCCAGCTCAATTTTCAATATAACTTTAGTTGCCAACTAATTTCTATTTTTTTTTTTTAGTAAGACAGTGCATCATTCTTGGCTCAGCATGTTAACAATCTCCCATCCTGGCCTCCCCGAGTGCTTAGCATTACACGGCAACCCCTGCCAGCTAAGTTAGCGCCTTCTTAACGCTAACGTAAGACTGAATGCATAACAAATCTGGCACCTCTCGTCCAAACATCCCAACCCCAGTTTTTATTACTCGAAGACCATACAAAGCTTACCCAGCCATTTTTGAGATTCAAGTAAACTGGTGTTGAAATATAACGATCGCTTAATGCGGTGATCTGAGCTACATAAACGCCATTTTCAGATAAGGCCATTTATTATGTGGGTACTCTAGACTGTAAGATTATTATAATAAGTTCAGTCTGGATTATTTGAAAATATCTAGTTTCGTTGCCCAGTGACCCTGCCTGTCGGTCGCGCGCGTTTTCCATCTGATCCACTCTACTAGAATTCATTGAGTTTGAGAACATTTTGGCTGCTCATCACCCCAGTTCCCAGAATCAACAGGGAAGTGTAGAAATCATAACGAAGACATAACCCTGGAGCACGAGTATCAACACAAAGTCCTCAACCAATGGTCTATCCCACTTATTGTCTGTGCCACTATTTTTTGCTTAGTTATATTTTTTTGAGACAGGGCTCCACTCTCTGTTGCTAGCTAGAGTCGAGTGCATGGCGTCACCTAGGCTCAAGCAACCTCAAATCTCTGGGCTCAACGACTCCTCCTGCTCCAGCCTCCAAGTAGCCTGGACTACAGCGCATACGCCACATGCGCTGATTTTTCTGTGTACATTATTGGGCAATTAATTTTTCTATTTATAGTAAGACAGGGTCTCACTCTTCGCTCAGGCGGTTTCAAACTCCCTGGGACCGGTCGAGCAACTCGCCACGCCTCAGCCTCCCAGGGGGTGCTAGCATTACAGGTGTGATGCCACGCGCCGGCTGTATTGTTGCTTAATTTTTAACTTTATCAAATGTAAGGTGGCTGTCCAGCATGTTAAACTTTTTCTTTTTTAATTGACCAACAATAGCAAGAAAGCCTGATACAATATAGTGCACAGTATTTTCGTGGCTTCACCCTGCGCTTTTCGGGTTCCCCTTATCTGCAGCACGCTGTGCCACAGCCCACACCACACCCCCCTGCAGATTCTGCCCTGGTGCTGGCTGGAGTTGTGTCTCTGGTCGGCAGCTGGCTTGCAGGCAGGCAGCCCTACTTAGTCCACCCCATTCAGATGAAGTCGGAGATTTCAGGGCCTTGGTTTTCAAGTCAGTTTTTGGAGATCGTCTGGGCTGTGCTTATCTATGTGGGAAACGTGCTTGATGGCAGAGCATGGAAACTCTCAGAGGATATTCCCCCAGACTTTGGCAGATGTGATTTCAAAGCCTGGCAGCACAGTTGATCACTTTCATTAAATGCGGTAAGTGGTCTCTTTAAACTTAATAATTCTATAAGTACATGCAATTAATTCCTAAAGCTTTTAAGATCATCTTTCCTTTTGTAACTTCTTACCTAATTTTATTTTTTCTCACTTTGCTGATAGTTTTCACACTAAGTGGTGGGGACAGTTCACATAGTTTCCTTTTGGGTTTCAGCACTATCAAATCTCCAGTGTAAGAAGGTTCTAGGAAAACACTGAATTGAAGACTGGCTTAGGAACAAAGGGACCTCGTGTATGACTCAGCCTGCTCCCTGCCTTCCATCCTGTCCAAGCCTGGGCCCACCGTGCTCTGGCAGGACTGGAGTGGGCGTGGGGAGGGGAGGCATAGAGATCAAGAAATGCTTGGCAGATAGCCAGTGCTAAAAGGGGTTCTGAAATTACTTCCAATCACGTGTCACCCCACCTCTTTCTCTACTTTTATGGAGTCAGGAAAGGAAGCGTGTACAGGGCCTCAAAACTCTCAGCTTGGGTTCTGGCCTTAAACTATTGTCGTCTTTTCCTTCGTGGTGAACAACAGATACTATTTTGAAATAAAAATGATCCTTCATTTCTGTGTTCTCATTACTGTCCCAACATAGGGACTTCCAAGGGAGGTGAATTCCTGAGAGA